CAGGAGACCGAGGGACGAAGGAAAGTCGGAGTGGGGGAAGGGAAGTCCCGCTGGGCTCTGACAGTCAGCCCGTCAGCCTTGGCCACCCCATCTTCATGACCTACATCGGAAAGGGAGCCCCAGGGATGGGGGAGGAGAGGGCCTAGCTGTACTCCGGGCTCTGCAGCAGCCCCTGCCCACAACCCTGCCGCCACAGCAGTGAAAAACCTGCTGTGACCTCTGACCTCCACCCTGGCTAGGCCGGTTCCAGGACCCTGTTTATGGTGGAGCCCCCAATACTCTCAGACACCTGTGGTCTCCCTGCCCCCACTGAGGACACCTGGCTCTACGCTGATAGGCTATGCCTGGCTCTCATCCCTCTCCCAAGACCCTCTGCCTGACTTCTTTTCTTTCCATTGACTGAGTGTCCCACTAACTTCACTAGGGTCTTTTCCCACTCGGCCCTCCTTCCTTCATCTAGCTGCGGTGTGGCCTCTGCCTCTCTGTGACTTTTGTGCCTTACCTCCCATCACAGCTATTTAAATGACTGAGAGAACCAAGGCATGAATGTCTGTCACCCACCTGTCTCTAGCAGGTGAACTGCCCTTCTCTGACTAGTGCTCCAACTCCAGGGGACACCCCAACACAGTTCAGACTCAGGACCCTAACACAGAGGCTCCACATTCTGCCAGCCTGTGTGATTCCTGTATTCTAACTGTACCCTGGGCCAGCTGAAGAGTCCACATCCTGCTTGCCCAGAACAGGCAAGGCTAAACCTTGTTTGCCCTAGTCAGAAGGCCCCAGATAACCAAGTGTCAGAGACCTGGAAGAGCCAGCCAACACCCAGCCACAAGAAGACTGAATCCAAATTCTCTGATATTGGACCCTGCCACCAACTGGCCTCTACCATCTCCCTGGAGGACGCTAGAATTAACTCCTTCCTAGTGCCAAGTCCATAAAGGGGTGAGAGCCATACCTATAATCTCAGCAGTCTAAGGGAGGAGAGAGGTTATTGGGAGTTTAGGCCAGCCTGCCTACAGAGTGAGTGAGTTCAAGGCCAGCCTGGCCTACAGAGTGAGAACTTGCCTCAAAACAAAATTAAAACACACAAGAAGCAGGCCCCTGGTGGCACATACCTTTAATTCCAGCACTGGGGGTGGGAGAGGCAGGTGGATCTCTGTTAGTTCGAAGACAACCTGGTCTTCAGAGTGAGTTCCAGGACAGCCAGAGCTACACAGAGAAACCCTGTCTCAAAAAATAAAAAAATTAAAAAGGAAAGAAAGAATCAGGGCCTCAGGGTTCAAGATGGCAGTTTTGAGTTCACATTCCCGAGGCTGCCTCAGTCCTTTGCAACTAAGTTCCTGGTTTAGTGAGAGGGAGGCCCTTCCACTCAGGTCTGCAGTCAGCTCCTCCTATCCCAGGCACCACCTCCCTCAAGGCCCCACCCCCACCCACATATACCCCGAGGTTATTAGGGTTGGTGTTTTTAGTTGTGCACAATCATCCACTTGTCTCTTTCATCTTTGACTTCAAAGCCTTTCCAGCCCTCAGCCTGTCTTCTGCCAGGATGAAGGAACTGAGGCAGAGGGGACAGATTCATTGGACTGGACCAAAAGGATAAGACACAGAGTTCAATGCTTCCCCCACCAGTCTGACCCTAATGTTAGACATTTCTGGAAAGAAGCTAAAAAGCCTAAAAAAAGAAAAGAGGTGGTTAAAGATGAAATCTCAACCTCTTGTTTGGCCTCATAGCCTGTTCCCATCTTAGCCCCAGGTGTGCCTTTCACCACAAGGGACCCTAATCACCCACAGCCCTAACCCCAAAACCGCTCTGATTTCGGTGTCACCCTTGCGAGACAGGCACTAAATCACAGCCCTGCCCTAAAACCTTCCCTGATCCTGCCCTGCCCAGATGGGCCACTCCTGGAGACAGCTCAGTTCAAGGCAGACTTGCTGGGATTGTTCCCACTCTCTGCACCAGACCTGCCCAGCCCACCCAAGACAGCCCAGAAGCTGCGGCTCAAGACCTGGTCAGACCTTTTAGGGGAGCAAGGAAAAAGCTGCTCTCACTGAGATGCAGGAAACTAGGTATGGCTTGACTGTGAGATACAGAATGCAAGCAAAGTACCTAGGGCTAAACAGGGTTTGGGGATGGACAAAGTGATGCCGCCCAAGGGTCTGTGAGCTCACCCCTGTAGAGTGTCTTGGAAACTGTCTTGAATAGAACATGTAACAATCCCCCATGGAGCAGGGTGGGGCTCTGTCTGCTGGCGGTAATTACACTAATGAGCTTCCCTCTAGAGTGGCCTGCCCTAGCCCGACCCTAACTCCTCCCAACCCTGCTTAACCTGGGTGCCACACACACAAGCACACAATCCGCTCTCCTCTTCCCCCAAGTTTCCTGCAGCCCTCACCTCCCACATGACAAAAGCCTTGGGTTTGTTCCTCTCCCTCTCCCTGCCCCGCTCCTCCTCCTCTTCTTTTTTGTCTTCCTTTTCTTCTCCAGTCTACCCAGAAAAGCATGATGTTTGAAAACCTTACTCAGGAGCAAGACCCCTTCAAACCCCATACTTGCTGTGTGACCTTGGTCTACTAACGCCCCCTATCTGACCCAACTGTCATCATTTATCATAAAAGAATTCATTTATTCAGCAAACATGTGTTGAGTGCTCGGTGTGTTGTGTGCCAGCACTTTACACAGACTCTGGGAGGCAGGTGCTGATCTAGTTTGACAGATGAGAAATGAGAGTGAGCCAGTCAGAGACCAGCAACTACTCATCCCATTAGCACAGTGAAACTACCTCATGGGAAATTGTGTAGATAAAGTCCGGTCAATGAATAAGCCACAGAGGCTGGAGAAATGGCTCAGCAGTTTCAGTACCTGTATGGTGGCTCACAACCAACAGTTAACTCCAGTTCCAGGGGATCCAGCACTCTCTTTTGGCTTCTGGGGGCGGGGTATGAGGTACACACACAGTAAACTTTGATACTTAAAAATAATAAAAATAAGTAATTTTTAAATTGCCAGTTGTGGTAGTGCACACCTTAAATCCCAGCACTGGGAAGGCAGAGGCGGGCAGATCTCTGTGAGTTTGAGACCAGCCTGGTTTGTATGTCTGCATAGTGGGTGCCAGGACAGCCAGGATAGTATTAAAAAAAAAAAAAAAAAGAAAGAAAAAAAAAAGAAAAAAAATAAGCTGAAAAAGTGACAACTATTTTTCTTAGAAAAGGGTGGATGTGCCTGAGGCTCTAAAGCGTTTTTTAGTGTGGGAGGGCAGTGAGGTGCCAGAAATTGAACCCAGAGCCTCCCACATGCTAGGCAAGTGCTCTATCACCAAGCCTCAGCCCCAAAGAGCCCTGCTTCTGCTCACCCAATGCTTAAGATGCCATCTGCACCTCTCCCACCTCAGATTTCAGAGTGGAGGAGCCATGAGAGTCGGGGGACAGCCCCACGCTAGTGGCCACCTCTCTCACTTCTCACCCCAGCCCTGCTCCACATCAATTCCAGGCTGCAGGGAGTTGAGTGGCTTCTGTGTGTCCTCCATCTCTCCTCCTCTAAAGCTAAATGAGGACTCCACACCCAGGAGAAGCAAGGAATTGCTTTCCCCATTCTCTGCTTAAAGCAGATGCAAGCCCATGCTCAGCTCTCCGGTTCAGCATCAAATGAGAGCCCTCTGGGAGCCATGTAGCAGAGGAAGGATTTGCTAGAGTGTGACAGATTTTGATTCGACTCTCAGCCCCGATACTTAAGGCTGTGTGACATCAGCCAAGCTTTGTAACCTCTCTGAGTCCCAGTCTTCTCCTGTGCTGAATGGGAGAAATAATACTGGCTACTTCATGGAATCACAACCAGCTCCCAGACTGCTGTCTCCAAGCTTACATGTGCTAAGACTCCTGCTCATTGCCTGGTTCCTCATGGTTCCTTGAATGTTTCTCTATGACTTTTTCTGGAACTCAGCTCTCTCCTTTAAATTGGATTTTGGGAGTGGGATCTTAGACAGTTGACAGCCAGCAACAAGGTCAAGGAGCCAAGCTGTAGTAAGTACACGGTACCCTGGTGTGGAAGTGCCAGCCCCAAACCGGCTGCTGAGAGAGGGAGCGAGGGACACCCCAAGCACTCGGGTTTCTCTCACCATTCCTGAGGCTCGTTACAGCTGCTCCGGTGTGCCAGGCAGTGAGGCGGGGTGGGGCACAGGGGACCAGGAAGAGGAGATAACCAGTCTGTCCCTGTCTTCACCTTCATCTTTCTTACCTTCTGTTCTCTGCCCTGGGGTCTTCCTGTCCTCATCCAGCTCTGAGTCCTGCCTGTCAACGGTGTCCTGTTGGTTTTAAACTCCTTCCCTCTTTCCACCCTTAGCCTTTCTGTGTCTGTCCCTTTTCTAGTCAGTTATTCCTGCTTCTGCCATGCTTTCTCATGTATATTCTCTCTCTCCCCCTACACACACACGTGCACGTGCGCGCACGCACACACTTATGCACACACGCACAGCAAATGTAAAATATCAGAAGAGGAAATGGACAGGAGGCATTCAGACCCCCAACAGTTCAAAGGCCAAAGGCAAACATCCTTCAGGCTTAGAGTTTGGAAACTAAGCTACCAGCAGCCTTGACCCGTGTCTGCCTCAGGCACACTGGCCTCCAGTCTTGGCACTGGGTGGAAGAGACAGACCCCTCCAGACCTTTCTGGACCTCATTCTCCACCCCCAGCTGTGCCTGGGCCCTCCCCACCCCCTCCCTCTCGCTTCAGATTCCCCTAATCCCTGCTCCCCCGCCCTCCCCTCTGCCCCACTTTTCCAGGACTCTGATTGGCTGATTCTGACTGGGCTGGGGGAGGGGGATAGTAAAGGAAGGGGGCAGAGGGCAGAACCAAGGGAAGGGGACACTGTCAGGCCCGGGCCCCTAGGGGGCCAGGGCCAGGCCACTGCTTGGGGGGCAGCAAGTACCAGCTACTGAAGGTATGACAGGGTGTCTCTTTGCGGGGAACAAGAAAGGATCCTGGGGACCCATTACCCTAGGAGGAAGGTCAAAAGAGGTCCAGGGCCAGCCATGCAGTCTCTCGGTCTGGCCTTTGTTCCAGAAACCCCTGCTGCTGGCAGAGGGCACTTGGAGTAGTGGAGGGTGGCAGGGACTGCCCAGCTGGTGGACAGAAGCCTCTTCAGAGGGAAGCTGGGCCAGCAGAAAGCCAGAGGGTCCTGAGGACCTTTGAGCTGGGTCCTTTGGACCTGGCAGAGCCTCCTTCAGGACTCCAGGGGGAAAGAGAAGGTTTCATTTCCCCTTGGGGTCACATGCAGGTCCTCCTCTCCCAGAGGCTTTGGCCGAGGTTCCTCTTGCAGAGCTGGAACTACTTTGCCTTCCGGGGGAGACTAATGAACCTGATTGGACTGAGGGGCTACAGAAGGGCTTAGAGCAAATGGCCCCAAAGATGGTGAACATCACTCAAGAATTATGACCTGAACAGCACCATAACCTTGGGAGCCAGATGCAGCAGCCTCTTCAGTGTCCCCCTATGGACAGTGGGATAAGTCACCCACTTGAATCTGCTCTGGGGATCCAACAAACCTCCAGATACCCAGCAAACTCCAGACCAAAGGGGGGAGCTGGGGATTGGGTCCAGGGGCAGGCTGTCTGCAGAGCAGGTCTAAACTTTTCTCCGGTCTGTAAGAAGCCTGCAGTGCAGGGCTTGGAGAAAGAGGCTGCAGAAGGGGGAAGTGAAAGACCAGCCTGTGTCCCCAGGCCCACAGTGGATCTGCTTGAGCCGCAGAGGAAGTGTGTGTGTATGGCTCCCACTCTGCACAGTTCCGAATACAGGAGCCTCATCTAGGGAGTAGTGCTATGAGTTTGGGTGCTGCGTCCAAGCTTCAGTCTCCCTACTCCACAGAATGTTTTCTCTGCCCTTCAGGCAGCCTGAGCCGGGCAGGGCCCCTCCCTCTGCTCCGGCAGCCCCCCATCATGCAGCCCCCGATGGACCTCAAGCAGATCCTGCCCTTTCCACTGGAGCCAGCCCCAACTCTGGGCCTCTTCAGCAACTACAGCACAGTGAGTATGGTCCACTTGCCTCTCCCCTGCCCCTCGGCCTGTACCCTTCACTCCCAGTCCACCACTGCACTTTTCTCCTAGGCCTAACTCATCCCCACCTCCCGTAGCCACTGGACTGCAAGCATTTGCTGGCTCTGTGGTGCTAAAGTAACTGCAATAACAACAGCGTGTTTGCTGGGCTCTCCCTCCACCCAGGCCTCCAGAAGTGCTCAGCCGTCCAGAGAGTAAGGAAGCTGAAGCAGTAAAGGAGTTGAGGACTCTGGGTTGGGGAAGAGAGAAGGGGCAAGAAGGCTAGCACAGTTGTGGGACTTTTCCTTTGCGTGCCTGTGTGCAGGTGCACACAACACATATGCAACTGCACGTCTGGAGGACAGTGTAACTCCACCATGTTCTCCTCTACCTTCCATCTCATCATGGGAGTGCTGGGGTTGTAGATGCACACCATGGCATCGAGTTCTGGGGTCCTGGAGATCAAACTCAGGTCATAGGCATACACACTACTCATTTGCTCTCGAGCACATAGCCAGGTGGGTAGGATCAGTTCATTGTAGAGGGTGACAAAAGTCTTCAATAATCAATAGGAAAAGAGACAGAGAGTCCAGCAGGGAAATGCCTCAGTAAGAGTTGTGGTTGAGAAAGATGACTGTGGTAGCCAACGAGGGGAACAAAACCTGGAGGAGGCTGTCTGGCCTCACAAGCCTAAATAGCAGTAAGAATGGGAAAGAGAGGAAGCAAAGACTGGTGGAATGTTTTAAAGGAAACTGAGTGGTAACCGAGTGGTGTTGAGGGAATAGGGAAAGGAGGAAGAGGCAGCTAAGGATGAGTCCAGGGCTCAGGCCTCTGTGACTGGGAGGAGGAAATCACCCTGACAGAGACAGCCTAGCAAGGTAGACGCTAATACTTCTGTTTGACAAATGGAGTGGTAGAAGCTGAAGCGCAGAAGGGTTTAGTAACGGATAGACATTGGTTGACACAGTATGTGCCCAAAATGTAATTGAGACAAGCCCTGAATTTGAAGCTTAATACTGCATAGATGAGGTACGGCAGGGCACACCTGCACTCAGGAGGTTTAGAAATTCAAGATCATCCTCAGCCTGGCATACATGAGACCCTGTCTTTAAAAAAGAGACAGAGATAGAGAGAGAGTTCTTTTTAGCCCATAGCTGCAACCCCCAAACTTCTCCAGAATCCTAAACCAGCATTTGCATTGCACTCTGACTTTTACAAAGTGTTCAAAACATCTTAACCTTTACAGAATCCTGTGGGGTAGCTGTTGTTATTAGTCTCATCTTACAGATGAGGGAACCTAGCACTGACTGTAGGAATGGCATTGACCTAGCCCCACACTAACAGGAGAGTAAACCGAAGACAGGTATATCTTAGTGACCTTACATCCAAGGGCAAGAGAGGCCTGTGTGCAGTAAAGCAGAAGGAAGGTTGTTAATATTGTCAGAGAAAACAAGGGATGCGATTTCAGCTGGGTGTGGTGGTACATAGGAGATAGAAGCCAAATCAGGTAGGTGTTTAAGGTTATTTTCAGTCACATAGCAAGTTGGAGGCCAGTCCAAATTTCCTAAGACCCAGTCTCAAAAAAAGTGGGTGAAGGGACTTAAAACGCAGCTCGGTGGTAAAGAACTTGCCTAGCGTGAGTGTGAGTGAGGCTCTACGCTCAATTCCCAGCATAGGAAAAAAAAAGAAGAGGAAAAAGAAAAAAAGTTTTAAGCAACTTAATGAAAACACAGTGGTGAACATATTATATTCCCATAACTGCACCCGGCGTTGAGGCATAGCAGTCAGTTGGTCACTGCTCTTAGGGAGCCCATGGTTTAGCAGGAACAATAGCAAGTTAACTATAACTTGATGAAGCGCCATGTCCAAAGCATTTAGCTTGCATGGAACTACCAGGGATGTCAGGAAAAGCTTGCTGGGTGTAGGGAACCCAAGGGACCAACTAGAGTTAAGCAGGATAAAAGGAAGGAGAAAAAAGGACTTTTTTTTTTTTTTGAGGGACAAGGACTCAGGATTGGGCTCTAAAGAGTCATTAGTAGTTTTTATTTTGTTATTTGGTCTTTCGAGACAGGGTTTTTTGTGTAGCCCTGGCTGTCCTGAAACTTGCTCTGTAGACCAGGCTGGCCTCCAACTCACAAAGATCCACCTGCCTCTGCCTCCTGAGTGCTGGGATTAAAGGAATGTGCCACCACTCAGCTAGTTATTTTGGATTATTTGGCTTTATTTGTATTTTTTTGTATTATTTGGTTTTGTTTTTTGAAATAAGGTCTTACTGTGTAGCCCACACTGACTCCAAACTCTTGGGGATTCTGTTTCAGCCTCCCGAGTGCTGGCATTTCAGACATGTGTCACAGCACAGCTGATTCATAGGGTTGTAAAAGTGGCTTAGAGAAGGCCTGGAGAGCTCAGCTGCTCTTCCAAAGGATTTGGGTTTGATTCACAGCCCCATCATGGCAGCTCACAACCATCTGTAAATCCGGTCCCAGGGGATCTGGTACCCTCTTCTGGCTTCCCAGGGCACCAGGCATGAATGTGGTGCACATACAAACATGCAGACAAGATACATACAAATCCAGGCTTGGCAGCACACGCCTTTAGTCCCAGCACTGGAGAGGCAGAGACAGGCAGATCTCTGTGAGTTCAAAGCCAGCCTGATCTATAGAGCAAGTTCTAGGAAAGCCAGGGATACAGAGAGACCCTGTCAAACAAACAAAACAACAACAAAAATAGAATATCCCCAGGAAAACACTTCCTACACATAAAATACAATGACGTAAGATAAAATGAAGGAGGTAGCTGTAGAGAACATTCTGGATTGAATCAAAAACATGAACAAGAGCTAGAAAAGAACATTGGGAAAGCACAAGTAAGCTGATGTCACCACAGTTGAAGGGCGGGGATGCGGTCCTCTGTCTAACCCTACATTCTTTTTATCTCAGCCGCCCTAGTATTGTCCCCATTCAGAGATGAGGAAGCACACGGGTTAAATGACTCACCTGAGACTCATCTTAATCCATTCGTGTACATTTGTTTATTTGTTATCTTGTTTGTTCTTTGGGTTTTTGCCTCTGCCTTTCTGGGGTTGGGATTCCATCCAGCCATAACCTGGGGTTTCTTTCTAGATCGGAGAACTCTCAGGAGGCAGTTTTCTCCCTCCAGTGTGGGTTTGGGGCTCGAACTCAGCTTGTCAGGCTTAATGGCAAGCACTTTCATTCACTCAGCCATTTTGCTGTCTACGGTGGAATTTTTGATTCCTAACAGTTCCGTGGTGCCTCTGCTTCCAGAGGAGACAGTTAAAGCTGTGGCGTAGCAAGCCAAGGCTGCAGCTCAGAAGAACTCTTTACAAATGTCTTACCTTTAGTTATGTGTGTGTGTGTGCAGTGTGTGTGTGTGTGTGCACCGTGAGTATGTGTGCGTGCAGTGGGTATGTGTGCATGCAATGGGTATGTGTGTGCGCAGTGTGTATGTGTGTGCACCGTGAGTATGTGTGCGTGCAGTGGGTATGTGTG